TGTGAGAAGTTATAACAATTGAGAGTGAGCTATATTGAGTTCTCATCTATTGTAGAGAACAAATTTATTATTTGTTATAATTGTGAGATTGTAAAGTTTTCGGTTAGCTAGAAAACCGAGTGTGAGGAGTGGACGTTGATCGGTGAGCATTGAAAACCGACATAGTGTGGTTGTAAACGTTATTCAGGTGAGCGTAGAAAACCCGATCGTGATAGTGGATTTCTCCTCGGGAGTGAGGAGCAGAGATGTAGGACGGAAGGTCCGAACTCCGTGATCATTTGAGTGTGTTTGAGTTTGTCTTTGGCGCATTTTCTTATGCATTTATCTTATATCCCCAATTGCTTATTACTCTTGTATATTTTGCCCTATCACATTTGTAGTTTAATTATGTCACCCTTGTGTTAGTTTATATATCCTTGCATATATTTCATCATATACCTCTTTGCTAGGATATATCTCTTTGTTCATATTGCATATTCTTGTTCATATCATATTGTATATCTATCTTGCAAGAATAATATTTGGATTAGTCTTAATTAGCATAAAATCGGATTAGATTAGCATAAGACTCTAATCACTCCCTCTCTAGGGTCTAACATGAACATCAACTCCGAGTTTCCTCTCCTCAACACGACCCTTGTATTTCAATGTTAAAATGTGACCCTCACATTTCTAATATTAAACGCAATATGAGTCGTCGCGTTCAAGGAGATCGACACAGATTCAAGATCCATATTCATCAAGAACCCGTCTCATCTAGCCACATACAGGAGGTGTCAATCCAAGTCTCCCCTTCAATGAGTAACGGATCTGATGGAATTTTTCAACGTACTCGGATGTGGAAAAGAGTCATACTCCCTGTTAACTACCGAAGACTAGATAGAGCGATGAAGTCTGACGATGAACATTCAGCTATCGTAGAGTCTCAATCCTCTAGCTCCTCTACAGAACATGAGAGTTCAGCTTATATGGTAGGAGGCCCCGAAGATCTCACAAAGAGACTTGATGAGCAGCAAGCCATGCTCAGATCACAACAAGAAACCATTAATGAACTTTGAAACATGATGGCCCAGTTGGTCGCAGACAAAACTAAATCCCAAAGAGCAAACTCCCCACCCAGACATAAGACTTTCCAAAAGGAAAGGCCATCTTCATCAAAGGGGAAGAAAAAGATGATTGATAATACTACTTCCGACCAAGAAATCCACAACACAGGTTCTTCCTCTGAAGAGAAGGAGTAAGCTGAAAATGAGCAAAATCCTCAATCTACTAAGATGGAGGAATTAGAAGCCCACCTTAATGCCATTGTAAATAGAATAATGCTCCCCGATCCAAGGAAAAAGATATTCTGGCCACTGAAACTAACACTCGAGCGCCACCTGCTAAGCAGGGCAAGGCATCGAGCCAGCCGAGAACATCCAAGTTAGTACTCCTTCAAAGAGGATCATGTGATCACTCTTTTCAAGCTACTTTAGAAGAAAAACAAGTTGAAGCTTCCTGAAGTTAAGAAACCTAAAGAAGCAGGATAGGTGGAAAACCCTAACTACTACCTATACAATAGAATGTTGTGTCATCCAACGAAGAGATGTTATATCTTTAAGGATATCCTACAAGCTTTGATTGATGCCGAGGTGCTAAAATTGAGGCCAGAACAGAATGCCGTGTCTACTAACATGATATCGATCCAATTTGGTGATTTCCCACCTGTTGTAGCTCCGGATGGTGTTGTTCCTATCCCTGAAGGGGAGTTACACATGAGAAACATTGACCCGCATGGTCATCCGGATGGTGTTGTTCCTATCCCTGAAGGGGAGTTACACATGAGAAACATTGACCCGCATGGTCAAAAGGATAAAGGATTGGTACCCCTTACCTGAAGGGGAGTTACACATGAGAAACATTGACCCGCATGGTCAAAAGGATAAAGGATTGGTACCCCTTAACACTCCGAAAGGAGAGATAATGTGGGTCCATCTTGATCTTCTTGATGACCAGTAGTGGACCAGAGTATCAGGGAAGAAGAAGAGACACAAGGCTAAAGCTTCCAATATGATTAGCCCATCTCTGAATGAGGATGATGCACATCTGGCCCCACTCACTAACTCAGAGGAAGAGAAGAGTGCCCTGGCGGCTGAGCAAGGAACAAACCCGGGAGCAGGCACCAGGTCAGGGAAGACATACTTAAAGAGGTATGATCAAACTGTCAAAGAAGCAGAAAAGCCACCCGAGGAGGCTGGGGGTTCCATTCCTATGAAGCCAACTGATAAAGGAAAGCCAAAAGAAGTTCGTTATAACAAGAACCTCCTCTAACCAGAGGCAGGAGGGTCAAGCGCTCCCTTTCGCTTTAATGTCACGGCACAACTGGCTAATATCCCTACCAGGATCACTCTTTATGAGATTTTGAAACTGTCTAAGTCTACGAGAAGGGCTTTGATTGAAGCTTTAACGGATACAAAGAGCTTTATTACTCAAGTGCCTGTCATCCGAGAAGCTACCGAAGGATCTTCTTGCACACAGTTCTTACAAGCTACAAGGAGTTTGCCTTGCATATCATTCACCCATGAAGACATGCAAATCAAACACAAGCATGACCGACCCTTATACTACACAGGGTATATCAGGTCTTCGGAGATCAACCGTGTCCAAGTCAACCCAGGATCCACCCTCAGTATTATGCCATACAGCGTTATGCAGTTCTTGGGGATTCCTCTACACCGGCTGAACTCAACACAGACCATTATCTTTGGCTTCAACGTTAATAGCACATGACCTATGGGCAAGATCAAACTCAAATGTCAAACCGGGGATCTCAAATCAGAAGTGACCTGCTACATCATAGATGCGGACACGTCCTACAATCTATTGTTAGGATGACCTTGGATTCATGCAAATCGTATTATCCCATCTACCCTCCATCAAGTGATGAAGTATGTCGATGATAAGGAAGAAGTCAGAACCCTGATAGCCCAGGGACAACCATTCAAGGGTGTGTAAAACTACCACACTAATTTAGTTTTCTACCTGGACTCCCAAAAACCGGAGCAGCCAAAAGAAGATCCTGATAGCATTAACGAAGTAGACGACAAGCCCAAGCCTGAACTTGAGGAAGAATGTCTGTGGGAATTAGATTTGAATGTAATGATCCAGAATGAGCTCAACAACAATGATGTATCTAGTTAGGGCGATTGGTACATTGATGAAGATTTTAACTTGGCTTACTTGTCTGATGTATCCTCTAATGCAGGTGCAAGAACAAATTCGTGGCATGCATTGTATGCTAAAGCATCGCTTATCCTACCGCTCAAATCATCTTTCACTACATTCGAAGAGATGGAAGACGCCAAGAGAGCCTTCTTCATAGTCCTAACTAAGAAGAGTGGCCAAAGGCCAATCTAGTTTGGGAAAGTCAACCCTGGGCCACCTGATTAGAGAAGTTCAGAGGAAGACCTCGGGATCCCACAATTCCATCATTATGGATCCAAGTCCCTCAGTATGATAAAGAAAATAGGTTATGACGTTAATAACCCGAAAGGATTAAACTTCTAGAAAGGAAGACGAGCTTCAATTCGGTCTTTCACTCCATAAGAAAAACCCCCAGATTATTATCATAAAACTGGAAGAGGATTAGGCTACATTTCAATGCCCCTCTCTTCAGAAAATGAATGTCTATACCAAGACCACTTATCTGGAACATTGTCATGGGACTCAGACGTAAGCATTGGTGCAGTCTTCAAGGGATTGTCTGTGAATATGACCTCATCTAGTCATTCAGACGAAGATGAAGAGGATGACGAGGAGTTGATTAAATCGACCAGCGATCCTTGGATCAAACGCCTTAACATATTATGGGATATGCGTTTCGAGTAACACGAGCCACCCACGGAAGATAAGGTGATCCAGATAAACATGGGAGATGAAACTAATCCCAAGCCCATTTTTATAAGTGAAAGCTTATCACCATCCGAGAAAGAGGACATTATATCTCTGATCTGAGAATATATAGATGTCTTCACCTGGAACTATGAATACATGCCTGGTCTTGACCCAAAAGTATCCTGCATTGTCTCAACATTGATCCAGATGCGAAACCCATTAAACAACAACAACGTCGGTTCCGTCCAGAGGTCATGAAAGTAATTAAATCAGAAGTTAAAAAGCTTATCGATTCAGGCTTCGTCAGAGAGGAACAACACCCTGATTGGGTCGCTAATATTGTCCCCGTAACCAAGAAAAATGGGAAAGTCAGGATTTTCATCGACTTCCGTGACTTAAATGTCGTATGTCGAAAGGATAAGTTTCCCCTCCCCACCACGGACGTCATGATTGATAATACTTGTGGGTATGAGAGAATGTATTTTATGGACAGATTCTCAGGATATAATCAGATCAAAATACACCCTAAAGATGAAAAGCACACAGCTTTCAGAACACCACTGGGGGTGTACTGTTATACATTAAAGCCGTTTTGACTGAAGAATGCTGGTGCAACCTATCAGCGTGCCATGAGCACGATCTTCCATGAACATCTTCGCAAAAAGGTAGAGTGCTACGTAGATGACATCGTAGTGACGAGCCAGAAGAAAGGTGACCATCTCTCAAACTTGAGGATGATGTTTGACATCATGCGAGTACATAAACTAAAGATGAACCCCACCAAATCTGTCCTAGGGGTATCCAGCGGTAAATTCCTTGGGTTCATAGTCATCTCTAAAGGTATTTCCCTTGATCTAGAAAAGGTTCGGGCTATCCAAGAAATGTAGTCTCCGAAGAATATCAAGGAACTCAGAGGCCTATAGGGCAGATTGACTTACATCGGGAGATTCATATCAAACCTCTCAAGATGCTGCCAGCCCTTCACCAAGTTAATGAAGAAAGGGGTATCCTTTGTTTGGGATGGAGACTGCCAAAATGCATTTGACGAGATCAAGCAATATCTCACTCAGCCGCCTATTCTAGTGCCCCCGGTGACAAGAAAACCATTCCTGTTATATGTGAGAGCCATGGAACATTCTCTTGGAGCTTTATTAGCTCAGAACAATGATGATGGCCATGAGCAGGCAATCTACTACCTCAGTAGAACCATGATTGTAGCTGAACACCAGTATAATCTGGTGGAAAAAGAATGCCTTGCCTTGGTTTTTGCCATTGAAAAAATGCGGCATTACTTAGTTGGACAAACTATTCATGTTATCTCCAAAGTGAACCCTTTGATAGTTCTCATGGAGAAACCTTCTTTGATAAATTGCCACCTTGCAAAATGGGCAATACTTCTGTCACACTGTTCAATGCAGTTCGTGCCTCAGAAGGCTATTAAAGGCCAAGCCCTGGCAGATTTCTTAGCTAACCATCCGGTGCCTGATTATTCCAGATTATATGAAGACTTACCAGACGAAGTTGCAGAGCCTTATGTAACTCAAGGAGTCATGTAAGTATGGAAATTGTTCTTCGACGGTGCATCTAGAGCAAGTCGTGATGGAAGAATCACAGCCGGTGTGGGGGTTGTACTCGTATCCCCAACTGGTCAGGTGATCCCTAGAGGATTTTCCTTAATTGAGCAATGCACCAACAATGTAGCGGAGTACAATGCTTTGCTACTAGGAATGCAGCTGCCCGAGGAGCTCAACATCCAATACCTTAAAGCCTACGATGATTCTCAAGTCATCCTAAATCAAGTTTGAGGAGAATACGAAGTGCGTAATAAGGATTTGGTCTCATACCACTTTGCGGCGCTAAAGTTGGCTCAAAATTTTGAGGGCTTCTTTATCGGACACGTTCCACGGGCCCATAATGCCTATGCAGATGCCTTAGCTTTGCTAGCAACTTCACTGGCATTGCCACCAAAGGTAGAAACAAAGATACTCGTGGAAGGCCATGATTTGTATCACCCCAGGTTCCCTCTAGGAAATTGGTCAGAAGAGGCAACAACAGAGATTGTTTGTGAAGCATCCATCTGTCTTGAACAAAGAGATTGGCGATTCTCATTCATCGATTATGTCTTGCATGACATACTACTCGATGATTCTAAAGAAGCGACCAACCGTCAAACGGAAGGCCCTTCGATTCTATTATGATGCGGCATCTTGAACTTTGTATTGAAAATCGCATGATGGAGTTTTGCTTCGCTGCCTTTCCAGAAAAGAGGCACAAGAAGCCCTCAAGGAAGCTCATGACGGAATGTGTGGAGTTCATCAACCCGGAGCTAAACTAGGGGATCGACTCCATAGGCTCAGCTATTACTAGCCTAAAATGATCGTTGACACCGTCAATTATGCTAAAAGATGTCACACGTGCCAATTCCACGGTGATTTCATTCATCAAGCACCAGGAAATATGCATCCGACATCTACGTCTTGGCCATTTGAGATGTGGGGAATGGATATTGTTGGACCCATTTTCCCTCCAACATCCAAAGGGCATCAGTTTATCTTAGCAGTAATCGATTACTTTTCCAATTGGGCAGAAGCAGTTCCTTTGAAAGAAGTCAAGGCTTTAGACGTGGTCAAATTCATCAAACACCATGTCGTCTATCGCTTTAGCGTACCCAGGCGAATAGTTCATGATAATGGAGCCCAATTTGTCGGCTAAAGTTTTTAGAGATTCTGCAATAAGTTTAGAATCCAAAGTATTGCGTCAACAGCATATTATCCGCCAGCTAATGGCCTTGCAGAAGCTTTTAACAAGACGATCATAAAGCTTCTCAAGAAGTTCGTCTCCAAAAGCCGACGTGACTGGAACGAACGACTAGGAAAATGTCTATAGGCTTATCGTACAACGGTGAGGACCCCAACAAAAGCTACTCTATTCTCTTTGGTGTATGGTTGCAAGGCTGTGCTACCTTTAAAAATTCAGATCCCATCCTAGAGAGTTGCCCTTGCGTCCGGGTTGACAAATGAGGACCGTCATTGACTACGACTTCAAGAACTAGAAGCGTTGGATGATAAGCGACTTCATGCTCAACAACAAATCGAGTTATACCAAGCCCGAATCTTCAAAGCCTACAACAAAAATGTCAAAGAAATGATCTTTAAGAGAGGCAATCTTGACTTAGCAGTCAGACGACCAATGGTCATGACCCACAAGATGAAAGGGAAGTTCAATCTCAAATGGGAAGGACCTTTCGTGGTGGAGTCAGTCTACTCGAATGGAGCCTACCGTCTCATCAATTAAAAAGGTGATAGGATCATGATGCTAATCAATGGGAAATTTCTCAAGAAATATTACCCGTAAAGAATCATGGGACCCCTTTTTTTCTCCCTCCCCAGCTGAGTCTAAAAAGAGAAACTGAACTCACTTAGACTAGCTCCCTCCCCAGCTGAGTCTAAAAAGAGAAACTGAACTCACTTAGACTAGGGGTTGGTTGATTAGAATTCACTGGATTAAGAGTAACAAAATCCTTCACGTCGTCAAGTTAATATTACACTTCTGATGATCATCATCCCCATGTAGCATAACTTCAGTCTGTTTCATATTTAATATGACAATCTTCTCTGGTGATAAAATTCCTGTCATGTTAACACTACACCTCTGACAGTCAACTTATCAATCCTCTTCAATAAGATGATAGGTCCACAAAGTTGTTCAAATCATAACAAAATTCCTATCATGTTAACACTACACCTCTAACAGTCAACATAACAATCCTCTCCAATAGGATGATAGGTCTACAAAGTTGTTCAAATCATAACAAAATTCCTGCCATGTTAACACTACACCTCTGACAGTCAACTTATCAATCCTCTCCAATAAGATGATAGGTCCACAAAGTTGTTCAAATCATAACGAAATTCCTGTCATGTTAACACTACACCTCTGACAGTCAACTTATCAATCTTCTCCAATAAGATGATAGGTCCACAAAGTTATTCAAATCACAACGAAATTCTTGTCATGTTAACACTACAACTCTGATATTTAACTTATCAATCCTCTTCAATAGGATGATAGGTCCTCAAAATTGCTCAAATCGCAATCTTCCTCAATAAGACGCTAAGTCTTCAAAATCTTGTTCAAATCACAAGTACAAACCCGTCAAGTTAACATCACACCTCTGACGACCAAAACAGTTTATCGACTCTCTTCAATAGAACGATAGGCCCATAAAATACTGTTAGGTTAACATCACACCTCTAATAGTCAAACCCCCAACAAACTTTTTAGGTCTATTTCGAAAAGAAATAACAAGTCTTCATTGTAGAATCCCTAGCGGATTAAAGATTTTCTAGAGTTATCCTTGTGATAATGAAGAAAATTTCTGAATTTCACTCTAAGTGAAAATTCATGTTAAGTTAATACCACACCTCTGGCACTTCTAACTTTCTTTCAGTGTTTCAAATGAAAGCATAACATAGGAAGAATTAGCGGCAAAGTCTATGTATTCAATATCATAGCACTAAACCTAAGAGAGTTTATTCTTTTAGAACAACGTTACATATGGAATGGCCTTAGACAATCCACATGCTAGTCCGACTTAAACGGTAGTCGGTAAAGGCTTATTAAATCCGTTGATGGCTGAGGGTTTGCCAAAAATCCTATTATATGCAAAATCATGAAAATTATTTTATGATCCAAAGTATTCCAAAAATTCGTTCCAGTGAACCGCGAACTTTTAAAAACTTTGGAGGGGGTTCTATAGGCTGTTTAAAAATCACTGTAGATAGCTGATCTCCACAGATTATACAGATGATGAAAGATACAATCTAACGTCCTTCACATCAACAAGCGGAAGTTACAATATGACGACCTCCGCAAACAGTCAATGAAAGTTTTAATCTAAAGACTTTCACAACAACGTGTTAGAGTTACAAATTGACAACTCTCACATTCCACAAAGGCCAAGTGTAAAGATTACAAAATGACAATCTGCATAAAAGTCAAAGGAAAGAGATTACAATTAACAATCTCTACGAATCTAAACACGGAGACCCTTTTTCGCATCCCAGGAGCTCAACGCAGGGGTCACCCTGTACTTCCAAGGCAAAACACGGAGGTCACCAGACACAGAGGTCACCAGATACGGAGTTCGTCCCAAGTTCAGACGCAAAGTTCGCCAAACGTAGAGGTCGTCAGACGCAGAGGTCACCAGATACGGAGTTCATCCCAAGCTCAGACGTAGAGTTCGCCCCCAAACTCAAACACAGAGGTCGTCAGATGCAGAGTTCACCCGTGTTTTTCTCTCCAGAATGTGACCCTTGCATTTTTGATGCTGGAACACTTTTGAAAATTATCCTATTATGGGGTACCTTACTCCATGATAACCCTATAAATAGGGTTGGATCTCCAGCAAGCCAGAGGCTGGGGGGAAAAAGAGGAGAAAAGGGGGATCAAAAGAGAGAAGAAAGGGAAGGAGAGAGGCTTGTTGGAGCTTTCTTGGAGTTTTCTTGGAGCTTTTCTTGAAGCTTTTTGGCTTGCTCTTTAAACCCATTTGGGTTAGTTTTCTTGAGTTTCATCTTCTCTCTAAAATCAACCCTTCTTGGGGATTTAAACTCGGCTAGAGTTTCTCAACTCTCTCATAAAGAGTTTCTAACTTGTTCAAACAAGTTTCTTTCAAACTCGCCTAGAGTTCTTAACTCTCTTACAGAGAGTTTCTCAACTTGCCTAGCAAGTCCCCAAAACTCATGTAGAATTCCGAACTTGTCTTGCAAGTTCTTAACACACTCACAGAGAATTCTCAAAACTCGGCTAGAGTTATAAACTTACCTCGTAAGTTCTCTCAAGGCATCAAGTCAAGGAGAGAAGACCAACACCCCACAAAGTTGAAATGCTCAGATCGTCAATGGGATACAAGATTTAAACTCTCATCGCCATAAAGAAAGAGCCCAGTTTTAAACAAATTGAGGGTTTCATCCTCCCCTCTTTTGTAAATCGGGGAACCGATAAAGAAAACTATAGTTTCTTTTTCTAAGTCAATTAGAGAGAAATTATATTGAGAGGATTATAATTATTCTTTTTCTAAGTCAGTTAGAGAGAATAATACAGATTCAATTCTCGAGTTTCTCGTAATTTCTCACGTGTACAGTGATGATAGAAGATAATAATGCAAGTGTCGAATCCGAGGATGACGATGAAGAGGATTGCTTACAAATCAATAGCATGATTTGTTTGATAGATCACGATGAAGGGGACAACCAGTATATTAGCGGATGTTAGTCTAACAATGAGTATGTCGTGCTAGAGGATCCGCCGCTCGATGAACTTCATTGAGAAGAATGGATTGATAACTCCATGATGGAAAGGATTCTTATCGACACAAATATAGTTGATGATACACAAGGCGATGACTTCTCATTCAGAAAGGACAATCTTTTTTAAAGCAAGGAGAAATTGAAGGCGGTGCGGACAGGTCATGCCAATTTGGTCAAGGTTACATGCGGCGACGTAGGACAGGTCAAAGGTCAATGCATGACGATAAAGCCGACACTTCTTATAGCACGACACATGCTAATGGAGCTAATACTTCTCAGCCTCATACACAACTAGATACTCAGATCATCGAGGCTCATCAGCATGGACAGAGGGGGCGGGGATGGGATGAAAGAATGAGGGGAAGGGGTAAGAGAGGGAGAGGAAGGAGAGGACGACTTTTAGATGTATGTGAATTTCTTTTGTTCAAATTCGTTACTTTTGTGAATTTCAAAAACAATATGGTTAGATTGTTCAAATTTGTTACTTTTGTGGATCCGTTTTTGTTTATATATGTGATTTTCATGTGTATTGTTTGATTCATGGTTAAATTTTATGAATATTGTTATAATTCAGTATATATGTGATTTTTGTGTGTATTGTTTGATTTATGTATATTGTTGTGAATGAGTTAGAAATTTCATGTATATTGCTGTAAATGAGGCGGAAATTTCATATATATTCTTGTGAATGAGGTAAAAATATGTGTGTATATTGTTGTAAAAACTTTTCATGTATATAAAAAATATGCAAATATTCTGTGTATGTTTTTTAAACCTGCAACTCCACGGGACTTCAAGTCCCGTGGAGTTGCAAGCTAAATTCTAGATAAAAATGCTCTCTGGAATGTAGCTTGAATCTTCACGGGACTTGAAGTCCCTTGAAGTTATAA